GTTAATACCAAGGAGTATTTCAGGAAGGCTTGAATATCATGGCCACGCCCAGAAGCTATCAAGTTACAAGTCTCCATTTATTCTTTTAGAAGAAGGCATAAATCAAGCTAAAGTCAATATTTCATGGATTTCGAGCATTTTATTTCGAGTTTATTTCTTTCATTTTATCATTTTATCATTTTATGACTGTTATAGCCTGTCTCTGTCGATCGTATAAAGTTTTTTTTCTTGCTTCATTGTAAACAACCCATCTTTGAAAGTAATGTGAATTATTCAGTTTTTCTAGTTTTCTCAAAACTATTGTTCTAAGTCTTTTGAGTGTGTGAGAAGCAGCTCTTGAGCATCCAGGTTTATCAAGGATCCCTTCCATAGATCTTTGTGGTGTCTATCAACCCATCTCGTCCATCCCATCCAATTGCCAAGCTTGAGAGTGATACACATCCAGCAAGCAAAGCACCATCTCATTCCACTTCGATCATCTCTTGATCAGGTTGAGAGAGACTCAAGTCCAGCAGCCTGATTCCATCTATCCTTTTTATATTTATCTTGTTTTACGTTTTCATATTTGTTTCAGTTTGCATCTTAAAAACTCATGAAATACATTCTCTTTTATTTCAGGTTGTAGATTGGTTCCATCATCCAATTAAATTGTTGGTTATCTCCCCCCCCCCTGTGTGCCAACAACAGTGGGAAAACACGAGTTGGCTATTTTGATCTAAAACGTGATTTTCCAGTTTGGCGGGAAAACTCAATTTTCAGGAAAAAAACACGATTTGTGATTTTAGCAATAAAACATGATTTGAAATTTGGCGAGAAAACTTGTTTGTAATTTTGGAAGAAAATTCAATTTTAATTTTTTTATGAGAAGACTTCAGTTTAGGGTTTTTGTGAAAATATGATTAAATTTTAATTAAAAACGGCATTTAAGATATATATATATATATATATATATATATAGGAAATTGTATGTTGAAAAAAATAAATATCTGAGATATTTGGGTTATATTTAGTTTATCGAAATTGGGTTATATGAGGAACAGTATTGGGAACAAAAAAATAGAACTAAGTGACATATTTGTGGTGATAGAATCAAAAAAAATTATATCATGCGTTGACTAAACAAAGACGCATTCAGAATAAGATTATAGGTTTGTATAAAGATGATGGGAATTGGGTAAATTCAGAATCAAAGGTTGAAGGAGTGGCAGTTAAGTATTTCTCAGATTTATTTCAGACTACCTCCCCAACAGATTTTGATGGTTTTTTGGAGGAAGTTCCTACTTTGGTAACAGAAGACCAAAATATTAGGCTAATGGCCAGACCACAGAAGAAGAGGTGAGAGCAGCTCTGTTTATGATGCATCCGGCCCTAAGACTTGATGGAATGACAGTGTTGTTTTATCAGCAGTCATTGTCAATAATTAAAGAGGATGTGGTTGCTATGGTAAATAATTTTCTTATGTCGGTGTAATTTGACAATAGACTTAATATGAAAAATATTTGTCTTGTTCCCAAAATGGTTAGACCAAATAGGATGACTGAAGTCAGACCAATCAGTTTATGTAATATCTGAAATATAAAATAATTTCAAAGGTTTTATGCCAGATAATTAAAAGATTATTACCAACTTTGATTTTAGAGATCCAATCTGCTTTTGTTTCTGGCAGATTAATTTCGGACAATATACTCATTGCTCAGGAGATGTTTTATGGGTTGCGTACTATTAACTCCTGCAAGTAAAAGTTTTTGGCTATCAAAACATATATGAGTAAGGCATATGATAGGGTTGAGTGGATCTTTTTCCAGCGGCTTCTTCTAAAGATGGAGTTTTCTAATGATTGGGTGGATTTTGATGATGCAGATTATCTCATCTATTAATTACAAGGTTTTATTGAACGGCCAGCCAAAATGGTTTATTGCTCCGAAAAGAGGGCTAAGACAGAGGGATCCTTTGTCTCCATATTTATTTATTTTATTATAGAAGCTCTTATAGCTAATATAATAAAAGAGGAAAGAAAAAAGAAGTTAACAGGTTTAAATTTGTGCGAGGGAGCCCCTCGATGTCTCATTTATTATTTGCGGATGATAGTTTATTTTTTTGTAAGGCTAATCTGAGAGAATATGGGGTCATTTTAAGACTTCTCAAAGATTGTGAGACAGCATCAGGTCAACAAATAAATTTTTCCAAATCATCGGTGCAATTTGGACACAAGGTTCCAGAAGGACTGAAAATCGAAATTCATACCTTACTTAATATCACAAATTTGGGAGGGATGGGTAATTATTTGGGTATACCTGAAAGGTTAGGGAGAAATTGTTAGAAATACCACAAGTTAAATATCACTTTTCAAAAATACCACCAATAAAAAATATACTAACATCTGGGTTTAGGCTTTGGTGATTACTGTTTAGTGTTTAAGGGGTTGGCGTTGGGTATATAAATGTTCTATAAATATTTAAAAAAATAGCTTAGTGTTATTTTATCACAAATTTAGGGTATTTGTGAAAATAGTCATTTATTAATGGTAAATTTGATAAGTGGTATCAAACTTGTAGTAGAATTAAAATTTCACCAAGTTTAGGTGGGTCTAAAAGGCAGATTTTTGGATTTTTGAATGAAAGAGTAAATAATAAGATCAATAATTGGACGGTTCGGTTCCTCACAAAAGGGGAAAAGAAGTTTTGATTAAATCAGTGGCACTACCAATGTCAACACATGTAATGTCATGTTTTAGACTCTCCAAAGGGGTCACAAAGAAAACTACGAGTACTCTTGCACATTTTTGGTGAGGTGGTAGTGGAAACAAGAGGGGAACCAATGCTCCTCTCCCGAGGACAGCATTACCAAAAAATCATACTCAATCTTTAAACCATTCTTTAACTGTGGAACATCTCATTAATCCGGTCGATTGCTCGTGGAATGTGGATTTTCTCAATGCATATTTTCATCCAGATGATGTGAAAATTATTGAAGGATTAGTGGTAAGTAGGAGCCAAAAGTCTAACTCATATGGGTGGATGTTTACGGGGTCGGGTACATATTCGGTAAAGTCAGGTTTTCCAACAGAGTCCATATATCCATATAACGTCCCCATGACGATCACTTATGGGCCAAATATTAAACCTTTACTGGCTTTTTCTTGGAAATTAAAATGCTCTCTCAAACTGAGACATTTTAGGCAAATTTTATCGGGTCCTTTACCGATTTCAAAGAACCTCAGGACACATGGAATTGATTGCTTAAGATGTAGTATTCGTTGGACAGACAAGGAATCCACTAACCATGTTTCTTTGAATGTCCAAAAGCACTACAAACTTGGGATTTATCTAGAATTTCTTCCCGGCCTGGAATTTTCCCATCTTTTTTTGTTTTCACTAGTATGGATTACCTATTTTAGAGGCTACCGGAAGATGATAATTTTAGTTATTTTCCTTGGATTTGTGGTATATTTGGAAGAACAGAAATGAAAAAATCTATAAAAATAGCGATGACAAACCTCGGGAAATTTTTCATATATCCGAAGTAGACCTATGGGCAGAGGCGCAATTGACAATGGAGGAGAAAACTAGGGCCTATCAATCAATTTTGAGTGGAAACACACAGGACACATAATAGTATGTTATATTGATGGTGCTTGGAGGGAGCAAGATGTTTTTACAAGACAAAGATGGTTTTGCCGAAAGATGGACTCGGATGAGGTGATATTGGGTGCACTGAATCTGCGGCTTAGCCTGTCCCCCTTACATGTTGAATGTGAAGATTTGATTTGCGCGATGGAATGTATGAAAACCCTTCAGTCCCCTGACGTAGTTTTTGCGACGGATTATTCTCATATGGTAAAGATAGTGTCGTCACCTGAAGAATAACCATCTTTTTATACACAAATGGAAGAATTTCAACGCAGTAAGCTTTTATTTCCAACCTTCAAGATCAGACATATTCCAAGGGCACAAAATATTATGGCGGACAAGCTTGCATGGGGTGCGAGGAGTTCTCCTTCAGCTATGTTATATGTCGATCGTATACCTTCGATTTGGCTTTCTGAACCGGTAGGACCTATTACTTAATGTAGTTTATGTTGTCGAAAAAAATGTTTGTTTTATTTAAGAATTTACTATCATGTGTTATTTTGAACAAAAATGTTTTAAATCTCAATTAACGTATATTCATATATTTATCATCACATTTATATACTTTTGCATATACATATATGTACACATTGACATGAGCGACTATATAACTAAATATTCACCACAAGTGAGAATTTTAATTCTTATTGGAGTTAAAAAAAAAATTTTAATGTTTTCTTTCACTATCGCTCAAATTTTAGTGAAATCTTTATGTTAATAATTTTACTTTATTTATTTTTTAAAATATTATTTAGATTTTATTTGATTTTACATGTCTTTAGAAATTATAATAGGAAACTATTAGTTCGACATAAAAAATGTCTAAAATTTATATAAAACGAAACCAAACAAATAACAATAATTTTTGGTTATCATCGAAAAAACAAAAACATCAAACATTTAAATCAAACAAACCAAAATAAATATAGATTTAGAAGATAGTTATATTTTAGGAGATTAAAATAACAACGTAAAACTGAACCAATGTTCATGCTAAACAAACATAATATCATTGTATCTTAAAAGTAACAAAGGTAATAATCTCATTCCGTGCAAGGAGCGGATTATTACCTAGTATAAAAGTATAAAACATTCCTGCTTGCGTACTCCTTAATTTCTTAGCAAATGATAGGTCTGTATGTGTCTCACGCAAGTGAGTTTCCGAACAATGTATACAATGGACCATCGTTGTTCTTTTGATTAAGTATGTATTAGTAAGTGAAATTAATCCTTGAAACCGATCGTAAGTTTTGCTTATCCTTATACTTACTTCATAACTGGACAAACTCTAAATCCATTTCGGCAAACTAAAACCTAGAAATGATAAATAACAATTCAAAAAAATTAACATAGACATAAAAGAATGTGAAATCAAACAGGAATGGGCAAAGCTTGAACCCATCCACCATTGTTAATGAAGTCGAGATTAATCAAACTTTGAACACTGAATCCACTCAGCTTCTTAACCCAGCTCACACGTCTCCCCGTATTTGATCCACTTCCATAGCATCCAATCTCTGCAAAAGTCAGCTGAGATACATGGCCCCCAAAGTGCCATGAGTCCCAACCTTGGGGAACAACCACGCTGGTCAGGTCTGTGTTGTAAAAGATCACTCGAGCGTAACTGCGCCACGGTCTGCCCAAGAAAGCCTTGCCTGATCCGTGAACGAGGCTGTCCGTGAACACAAATCCGCTCGAGTCATACGGGTTGGTCCGTCCTTGAGCCGTTATGTAACCAGCTACCCCCGGTTTTAGCGTCGCTCCTAGCACGTTTATCACGCATTTCTAAAACCACCAATCACACAATTTTATTTAATAAAAAAACAATAGATCACCGTTACTTAGGACTACTACGTGATTATTCGTTTTTTTTTCTTCCTTTTCGTTGTTTGGATATAGAAATGTAAACATTATTTAACTGTAGTATCAATTTGATTTATCTGGATTTAATATTTCTGCTATACACGGATCTTTACTGGTATTATTAAAACTAAAAATATAATAAAAGTCACAGGGTTATGTGAATAGTCAGAATGTAACGAACCTTGTAAATAGATTGGCCATTACCAAAGATGAAATCAACGGCGCCTTGGATAGTGCAACGGTGGAAGAAGTGCCGGCCATCAGCATCCCACAAGGTATCTTGGATTCCTGAAAACCCTACCGAGTAAAAAGCACATTTATCACCGTTGATCAACGCTGCCACCGCCGGAGTCCTAGGGTTTTTGTTCTCTTTCCCTTCATTCGGGAAATTGTACGTATTCTATAAATAAAATACAAATAGAAAAAAATACTTTTTCATCTATAGTAAAAAAAATCATATGAAGAAAAGAAAAAGACAGAAGAAAAAAACAAAATCCACCGTACCACGAAAGTGAGGCTTCTAACGACGGTGTTATCGGCGACAGTAGCAAAAGTAGGGCTTTGTGCAACCGAGTCATGATCGTCCCATTCAACTCGAGTGTTCCTCTTTCCAGCTCCAACTATTACTATGAACGGTTTATCATACGGTATCTTTACTTTCTCCCTACGGGATAAGATAAATCATTACTAAGGTCTCATTTTTTGCATATATGTAACTTCATTTCAAGTCAATTACATGTGGCTATACTGACCTGTAAAGGCCGGGTGCAACGTTGATGAAGAACCAATGGCGGTTGTTGACTGGGACCGAATCAATAGCTTTTTGTATTTTCGTGAAATTTGCATGACCCGATTGATCTACGTACACTTGTTGGTGATACGCTTGGATGATATGAGGTAAGCAAAAACAACAGAAAAGAGCGATGAAAAGTCGATGAGTTCCCATTAGATGATGTGAAAACGTAAGAGACTGTGGAGTAGGGGGAAAGACAAATGAGAATAGTCAAGGAAATGTACTATTTAACAAAGGCTGTGCGATTAATGCTTTTTAATTTGTTAAATATTTTGATCAAGATTTATTACTTCGTTTCCTTTTGATTATGTATGGAATCAAAGTTTGAATGACATGAAACTGGCAAGTTTAGCTTTCTTTTCGATTTGGTAATCAATTTTAGTTTTATGTGAGATGCCATAAACCAAAATAAAGAAAGATGATCTTTCTGATTGTGGCAACTATAAAGTTTGTGGTCGAGACATTGTATTCATTTGGAAATTATTACAAAAATTAAGAGAAAAATAATAGCGAATTTTGGGTCGTGGAAATTACATTAGATTGACAGAAAACTACACACATGAAATCAGGAATTAGTGGTTTATACTAATAGACACAAAAAGGAATACTCGTTGTATTGCGGTAACTGTAAAACTAGTGGTCGACACTTTGCATTCACTTTGGAAATTATTATAAAGAAAATTAATAGTGATCTTTCTAAACAGAAATTACATCAGATTGCTAGGAGATTTGGAATTAGTCATGCACTAGTAGGCAACTCTACCCAATTCGGTCATTCGGTTCAAGAAATGATAAATAGATGATTATATATAATATATCTTAGGGATCTCTAAGTTAAGTTTCCGCCTGTGTAACAGAACCATTATAAGATCAGATAAATGGTTGATCGGTTAAGTTTCTGTACAAAGGTGGTTGAATTAGTTCCTATCGAACCATGTTAACAACTTTGCCTCATACGTGAAATATCAAGTTGTAGACTACCCAAAACAATACTATAAATCTTATGAGTAGGGTGATGAGGTTATGGTGGAGTTCGAGAGGCCAACAAGACGACTTGAACATATGTCCTCGATGCATAACATAGTCTTGTCATTGCATAATTTCATTAATACGTGTGAATGAGAAAAACTTCTCAGAGAAACTGCATATGTACATAAATATGATGGGAATATTGTGAAGTTACATCATAACATGATGGACCAACTGAATGACTTCATCGGTACATAAATATGTTGTAACAAGGTGACTTGCACCACCATTGTCTTCTATTTTGACGTTCAGTCTGATGAATGGGATAGGAGAAGCCGGGGTACTCCAACTTGTTTAGGTCCCTTGTTCAAGACAAACACTGTATTTGAAGTAGACTAAGAAGCATCTTGAAATTGAGAGTTCAAGACGAAGAAGACAAACCGGTGATGGATGAAGTTGTGATGAGATCTGATCTCTTTTACTTGTGCATTTCGTGTGCGTGTTTGTTTATTTGTGTAAGCAACAAGGTTTTAACAAGAACTAATGTGTAACGACCCAAATTACGGTTTCGGAAATAATTAACCGGCTAAGCCCATATTTATCCCGCAGGCCCATTAGATTTCTGAAGGCCCAATAGCATGAGCATAAAAGCCAAGTATTTCTTCAGCATTGTTTTCTCCACCTGCAAGAAAAAAATAAAATCAGAAAAAGAGAGAGAGAAAGAGAGCAAGAGAAAGAGAGAGTGAGAGAGAGAGTGAGAGAGAGAGTGAGAGAGAGGAAGAGATGGAGAAATCCTTAGTTCTGAGCCACCACCGGAGCCGCCTCACGCCAGGAACACATCGAGCTCATCACCATCGTCCGTAACCACCGGAGATCGCCGGAAACCGCCATGGTTTTAAGTTGGTTTTGTGCCGTTTAGTAAATCGACCATATCTTTCAAACCATTGAGAATCTCGTGCATGCAAGGCCACCACTGTGTTCTACTCGTCGAGACGAAGCCGTAGACACCAAAAACGCCTCAATCGGAGTCCGGATGAAGCCGCACGCGCCACCGCAAGATCAGCCTCCGCGCGCGCGTAAAGTGCACGCGCCGCCGGACTACCGCCGGGCCGCCGTGCCTCCGCCACCGGACCGCCGCAGCTCCGCCACCGGACCGCCGCTGCTCCGCCGTCGCCGCCGGTGACCGTCGCCGGTGACTCGCCGGTGACTCGGTCAACTCGGCCGAGTCAACTCAGCGAGTCAACTCGGTTGACTCGGTCAACCGGTTGGTTGACTGGTTTGACCGGTTCAATTGAATTGCGATTTGGTTAAGGTAAACCGGCGGTTAAAATCAATTGAATTTTGGTTAGGAGTGTACCGAATTGAAATTGATTTGGTCTTGGTTCAATTGAAATCGAATCCGGTTAAGGAAAACCGGTTGGTCCAATTCGATTTCAATTTGGTCAAGGGTTGACCGGCTTGGGTCAGAGTTGACCGGGTTGACCTTTGACCAGCGGGTTGACTTTTCCGTAATCGCCCGTTTTCGTCCGTTCGAAGGTCATTATGACTCGGAATTTCGATCTGATTTCAGATTTGGGATCTATTTGAGCAGCTGGAGTTCATAGATACCACTTTTCCCCAGTTGCTAAGGTGAGGGTCTACTTCCGAACGATTCGTACGTGACTTAGGATTTTAAATAAATATAATTTATTTCTAATGTGTTCCGTCTTTGTGAATTAAGTCTAATTAGGGTCTGATTGGTGTCTGCTTGCTGTGGTTTANTGATTTCAGATTTGGGATCTATTTGAGCAGCTGGAGTTCATAGATACCACTTTTCCCCAGTTGCTAAGGTGAGGGTCTACTTCCGAACGATTCGTACGTGACTTAGGATTTTAAATAAATATAATTTATTTCTAATGTGTTCCGTCTTTGTGAATTAAGTCTAATTAGGGTCTGATTGGTGTCTGCTTGCTGTGGTTTAGAATTCTTTGCATAAACCGGATTAGGGTGTCAGATGGTTCAACATTGTTTGCTTCACTTAATGTAAAAATTCGTAGTTAGAATTGTGTGAGACGGATACAGAGCGTGGTGGTGCTACTGTATGCCGAATTGTGTGTGACGGATACACAGCGTGGTGGTGCTAACGTATTCCGGATTGTTTGGAAGGTTACGGCCAACTATAGTCGACCGGTTGAGCCGTAACCTGGTGGTGTCGATAAATCGTCTACGGGCGGTGTCCGAGCACTATCTCGAGTTGTTGTAGCCCAGGTGTGGGTAGTGTTTTTGGCCTGTTAGTGGGCAGCGGGTGTGCACCTCGCTAGGACCATTGTTTGTTTGTTTGGGTACTTTAGGTACCGTGTTTGACATGCATTAGAATTAATTTATATTTATTTGGAGTGCTATGTCCGGGTCTACGGACTTCGGAGTAGAATCCCATACCTCACTGAGTGACTTCCCAGTCGCTCACCCCTCTTTCTTCCCATTTCAGGTGAGACAAGCATTATGGTGATATTTGGACGGACTTGGTGCTATTGGACTTTTTATTCGGATTTTTATTTGGGCTTGGGCGAGTGTAGTTGGGCTTATGGATTTTTATTTTACGAGATATTATTGGTGGCCCGTTGTCCCTNCTTCCCATTTCAGGTGAGACAAGCATTATGGTGATATTTGGACGGACTTGGTGCTATTGGACTTTTTATTCGGATTTTTATTTGGGCTTGGGCGAGTGTAGTTGGGCTTATGGATTTTTATTTTACGAGATATTATTGGTGGCCCGTTGTCCCTAGAGAGAGGGACACGGGTGTCACATTGTTATTTGAGGACGCGTCGGGGGTGACACGCTGTACTCCAGATAGGAGGTGACAGGTGTTACAATTTTTGGTATCAGAGCCAGGTTCCATCCCGGTTCTGTCCCGGGATGGCGGTCAGGGGATTCGGTTTTCAATGTTTTCAAAAAAAATATATAATAATAATATATATCTTTTATAAAAAAAAAAAAGTATTTTGAAAATTCTTTTAGCACCATTCTGTCCAGTAACCACTAATTTCAATTGTCTCTTTTTATGACGATGAGTAAAGTCATCGTCATTCGTCTTTCGGCTACCAGAGGTCTACCAGATGTTCAGCAGAGATGTGATGCCGCAGTTTTGTCAGAGTTCGCCGAGGTTTATTGGGTTCTACATTCTTTCTCCTATGTTGTCCAGGAGCGGATATGTGACGTTTTTGCCATCACCCAATTTCAAGCCGTCGTTCCACAAGTTCTGATGTATGAGGTTATGTGATGTGAGTTTGAGCCATGGATTGGCGTGTGTTGTTTTGTGTATTAGTATATTGACTATTTTGGAGATATGCTTTGTTGTAAACTCGTGGAGATCGCTTTTGGAATTAGGGTGCAGCATCTAGCGTTGTGGTTTATATTGGAGTTACATTTGGCATGTTTGCCGGTTTCTGGTTTTGTTGACCGCTTCAGAGACGTATCAGCTAGGTAAGCTGGCATAAGATGTGGAGAACGATTCATGTTCATCGAGTTTTACTAGTTATGTTTGGAGGTCGCGTTATTCAGAGATTCGCCAGATATGGAGCTGAGTTTTACGGCGCCAATTTTGAGATAAAATTATTGTCATGTTATCAAGGAGTATAGAGTTGCTGAAGACAATGGTTTATATTTCTGGAGGAGATGAGAGTTTTATTGCTTCCACACTACATGTTGAGGAGTTATTGGATACAAGAGCAAATCAATTTTTGAAGACCCTGTGATGATTAAGGATGATGGACAACATGAGATGCATGAGCTGCTGGATATTACAGCATATAAGGATGTATTTGAGACCTATAGAAGGGTCACCATCGGATAGAAGAAACGTTCATATGATTGAGTTGGAACTAGAGGTATCACCAGATTCACGAGTCCATACCGATTAGTGCGAGCCGAGATGGCCGAACTGATGAGACAGTAAAAGATTTAGCAGACAAAGATTTTATTAGACCGGATTTTCGCCGTGGAAACCACCAATTTTGCTGCAACGAAGGAAGATGATATTCTCGGACTTTGTGTAGGTTACAGAGGTTTAGAAAAGGTGACATCAAAAGTAAGTATCTATTTCCGCGTATTGATGAGTTGTGAAGTAGCTGCAGGGAGGTTTATGGTTTTCGAAGGTTGATGTAGCATCGCGTTATCACCAGATCGCCATAGCAGAGGAAGTTGT